GAGCGCGCATGTTAATTATGGACTTACAGATTTAAAGTTACATTTGTATGGCTATATAGAAAGTCGCGTTCGGCAGACGCGGAACGCGGATGCGAACGAGAGCGCGTCGCCGAGACGACGAGAAACGCGTATACGTTAACACACTAACGACGCCCTGAAGCGCGTGCTACCTTCTTTCTGCGCTTCTGAAGGATTACCCCTCGACCGGACTCCACGACACGATCTTCTTAAGTGTAAAGAGAGGAGAAAAAAATACTCGCGATCTTCAATTTTTATCAACGCCGAGTATCCCTTCGCGCGCGCTTTCATGTGAGTATGTCGCACGCGCGTGTATATGTGTGTGTGAGATTGCATGTGTGTGTGTGTGTGTGTGAGAGAAAGAAAGAAAGAGAGAATGAGAGAGCGAGAGACATCGTTAGCGAGATCGCACGAGAAGTCTGAGTACTGGCAGTTAGATACGCGTATGCGTATTTAGGTGCGGTATCTCGGTAAAGTGTGCGTGCGTGTGTGTGTGTGTGTGTGTGTGTGTTGCGCGCTTCCGCTTGGAACATTTGTATCTAAGTACTACGGCTCAGCTGCTGCGAAGTATCGCGCAACGTATGTGTGTGTATATATACATATTTGTCATATCAAGTGTATAATTGTATATTTACCGCGACGGTAAATCCGAAAACGGTTGACGAAGACGTTCTTCGACGGCACGAAGGCGATTATCTATCACACCTCTCGTTTCGTATCACATATCCGTTCGCGCGCTGGACCCTTCCTTTACCCGGCCTTTCTCTCTTCGTGCGGTGTTTAACGGTGTTCATAGCTCCGAGTACTCGGAGAGGATGCCCTTAGCAGTTTTAGCGGTCGTTTCGTGTCTACCTACCGCTGCACGTCTCGAGGAGTACACGTGTTACCATTATTCCACGCAGGCGCATCCTTTATCACCCGTGTACTCGCATTCGTACCTAGATACAAAGAGTAGCGTGTACGACACAGTAAGGTGCAGTAGTGACGACGGGTGTGAACTGAACGAACACATCGTAGCTCGACGCATCGGGACGTCGAGTGGCGGAACACGATCGTCCAGCGGCGGAGAAGGCTTAAGCCTTCCAATATTTACCCTAATCGTGCACACCGGGGTCATTACGGACCCCAGCCGACCCATGTTTTTATTACGTTTCTCTTTATATTTTTCAATAAAATATAATATTTAGGTGAAAAAAAAACATTTACGATCCTTCACATAATTCTATTCTATAGATTTCAAAGTATATGATTACTCGTGATTTTTTAACAGATTTTTATTAGCACTTTTGCAAACTTTAGATGAGGGAGGACGTGAATGATCCCAGCGCATCAGATTAGTACCGATTCGCAACAGATATTTTGAGCTTTAAGCCTTAAGAAATCGACCAATTACAGTTAATTATTTGCTTCATATTCGACTGTGATTAGTCAGTTTCTTAAGGCATAAAGCTTAAAACATATTGTACCTATTGCAGGTCAGAACTTAAGGTGCCAAAAAGATGTGTGCACAATCAGGGTTAATAGTTGTCACTTGAAACTTGTTTCATGTGAAATATCTAGACACTGTAACACATAATATTTCGAATTACAAAAGTTACGTAATTACTAAATGCGATATTTTACATGAAGAATATTTTCGCAAAAAATTACCTTTTACTTGAAAAAAGAAGCAATAAATCAAAGAAATTCTCCTGTTGGACACGGGATGCGTTGCGTAACTCGTTGAAAAAGAAAATATTGCAGCCTTTAATTTTGTTTAACTGTGTACCTTTATAACAAGAAGAATTCTTCACCGTCAGCTTCGGTGTGTTCGTTTAGTCTGTGTGCTCTCAGCCGCGCTCGTGACGATGAAAAAAGAGAGAGAACGAGCGAAAGAGAGAAAAAATCCCGTCTGTTCTTCCCGATCGACTAGAAATAGTTACGAGCTCACACAGTCGTCCCGTTGTTTTCCAAACTGTCACTGATCACCGCGAAACGATCGAGTGAGACGAAGTAAGACACGAAGAAGTGTGAGAAGTGAGCGACCTACTCCAAGGATCATGTCAGGAATATATATACTATAATAATAACACATCTATAAGACTACGTGTTTAAGTATGTATGTATAACTCTGTAAGGTGTGTGTGTGTGTGTGTGGGTGGGTGGGTGTGTGCGTGCGTGTGTGTGTGTGTGTGTGTGCGTAGCACATCGCGTGGAATAATAGTGATCCAGTCGAGTCGGTGGCAACGACACACAGCGTCTCGTTGCCGTGAGTGGCGAATAGAAACGCGAGCAACGATTACGCGAAACCGTCGAGGGAGGAAATCGGAACAACTTACGTGCGAGTACCCCGCCGAGAAAATCTAGTCTTATAGCATAATTACTATACATATATATATATATATAAATATAGATATAAAGATATATATATATATATATAGGGTGTTAAAAAATTAGACCGACAAACTTTGGAGGGAAATAAAGGACTTCAAGATGAAAGATTTTTTGCTAATACTACTTTTCTCTACGACGTTTTGTTTCAATGCTGTATGATGTATAAATAAACAATACGGTAAATTGCAGTTTCTCCGTCAAAGCTCGGCTATCTCGCTGCAGCCATACTGGCTGAGGACGTCATAAGCGAGAAATGACATGCAGTTTGCCGCACATCTTACTTAATTTTCAGAATTACGAAATTATTATTACGTTTTTCGGGAAAAACTAAAAGATAAAGCAATATAACGTAAAACAATACTGCATGTCATTTCTTAATTTTAACAAAAAAAAGTTTATTTTGAAGTTTTCCGTTCCCCTTCAAAGTTTGTCGGTCTTTTTTTTTCCCCCCAACACCCTGCACATATATATTATTATCAATCAACGTGAAGTGCGATCTACGTTGCCTTTCGCCCGACGACAAAGGCTGCGTTCTCGTGTATTCACCGTCAATGCTGAGGATCTACAATTCACGTCACGTACATTATAGATCTTCGGTAGTGGCGGTGAATGTACGAGCGCAGCCGGAATACGTATCTCTCGATTACCCCGCGGTCACCGCGATGCGTCAAGCTTGATTTATGTACATACACCGCCGATCCTCAACGACCGCGTACATACGGCGAGAGAACCGCATCCCGCGTTTAACGCTCAACGATAAAGCCGTTCGACACTCGGATCATAAGCGGCAAGTTCCATCAGGACGATTGCTAGAACCGACAGAAAAACGGCCGTGCCGCTGCACCGTGGCGACAGAATCGTCACTGCTTGATTATTTTGTAACTACCGTAATTTCTATCAAGTCGTCGCGGTGCGTCGCGAATCTGACCTCCAACTGCGAACGACCCGGGAAAAAATTATTATATACGATTATATATATAATTACGTAAAATCATATGTGAATTTTGCCCATACATGTAGTTATATATATATATGTCTGTATGAAAACAAATTATATTATGTCATTTAATTAAGTGTCGAATATCATGTGCTGTCAGAAACACAACAGCCAGAACCATCTACTTCGATTCGCATATAATTTGTGAATAAGTATTCTTTCGTCGCGGACGTACGTAATTGTAGTCATATATGGGCAAATTTCACATATGATCTTTTGTTTTCCTGGGAAGTCAGAATACTCGCTGACGCAAAACGCGGGATCCGAGCACGCAGTGCTCAGCTGCGACACCGACTGATCGAGCGTCATTTCTTGTTGTGTGCTTTCCTCCCCTCCCCCGTGGAATAAAAACGCGAAAGAACGAGACTCGTCGGCGAGCACGGTGAAAGTTTGCACGAATCGATCATATCCGAATATCAAGCGAGATAGGCGCGCGCGCTAATCGTTCACTATCATTACTACCTAAATGACGTTTGATATAAGGGGCGTCCTCGGTGATTATCAGATGCCATAAGCGTTTACTTAGTCTTAATGAGCGCGCGATCGGGGTCAGTGGGCTTGTATATGTTAGTACACGCACACACACACACATACATATACATTATACCGTCGCGTGACACACGCATCGTACACACACACACACATGAAGGCACACGTGTTAGACGACGTTCCATGTATATACGTACGCATCTCTCGCCCTCCCTTCCCCCACACGAGTCGCCCGACGACGCAAAACCCGCGCGCTTTTGTAGCTCGTTCGTTTATAACGTGCTCGTCGTGAATCGAGGCATCGGAGCGTCAAATCGACGTGTCGAGAAAGAAAAAGAAACCCCTGATGGTCCCGGCTGAATGTCTCTCCGCTGTCGCCGCGTATCTCGTCGTACACAGCGACTTTCTCGCGTTATCATTCCTCTGGTTACACGCGTTTTCCCTTCCTTTCAGTCCCTGCGTCTCGTCGAACGTCCTTCGCGTCTTTCTATCTATCCGTCTGTTTGTTCTAATTCTTTTCTCTTCCTTTCCACTCGCATCTCCTCCTCGGTCTCTCCATCCTCTTCGTCCGCTCGTCAAATGTTAACAAGTCGACGCGTCATTGTCGGTGTATCATTGAGACGCGCTCATCGGTATCGTCATCGTCGTGACTTCATCCAGGCGCTTTCCTATTGTAAAAAGAATATATACTCATCGCTGCACAATGTGTAGACTTAAGGCAACTGTACCCTCGCAGATATTCCAGACGCTAAGAGCACAAAGGATCGTACCGGCTTTAGGATGTACTACGTTTAATGCTCGCGATACGCGCACGGGGAGGATCGCTGGTAATCTCCACGCGCGCCAAAAGCCCCTCTTCTGTCCCCCTCCTCCTCCCACTCTCCCTCCCCCTCTCCGTGTTTCCCACGACTGGACTCGTGCCGCTTCTACGCGGAAATTCCCTTTGTCCACGACCAATGTACCGCGACGCGCCCGCCGCACCTGTCCTTCCAGTATTTCCTCTCTTTCCCCCTAGGTTCTTTTGCTGATTAGCGACACGATAGATTCATCGCAACGCCGATTACTCCGCGTTCGCGCGCACACATACACGCACACACACACGCAATACACACACATTCCTCGGACACGATGTCGCCCTATTTACATTAAGTGTGATAAAGCGGTACCGACGAAGGAAAGAATAAGAAGAAGAGAGCGGTAATTAGTAGTCGCTAATTGCGCTCGATGACGACGACGTCGGCGATGGCGGTGGCGAACGCGTCTCATGAGATCGTCGACCTGCGGAGGATATCGCGACGACGCGCGCATGCACGTATCCTTCGAGTCCAGAACGGTTACCGGAGGAAGACGATTATTAGGACGGTGTATACGGGGATTCGTGAGGCTTCACGGGACGCGGGAAACCAATGGGAAACCATTTGGAGAGGAAAGAAAACGAGAAATAGCTTCCAAAAGTTACGCGCGGAGAACGACCCTCCGCTCTCTCTCTCTCTCTCTCATTGAAGATATTATTATTATCACAGTGTCTATTATACTATACTATGGCTATTGTTAGTTATACTACTGTCATTATTATCGTCATCGTTGCTGTTGCTGTTATTGTTACTGAGATTGTTGCTGCTGCTGCTGTTGCTGCCATCGCCACGTCGGTCGCGCGCGTCCTCCGACGCGAAACGCCGTTGATACCGCCGCCGTTGTCGTCATCGTTATCATCATCGTCATTGGCATCATCTTCATCCTCATCATCATTATTGTCATGATCATTGTCATCTTCATCGTCATCATCTTCGTCGTCGTCGTCATAGCCGTGGCCGTCGTCGTTGTCGACATCGATGTCGGCGCCGCCGATACGCTAATTATACAATAAGATACGACTATCGCCTACTCAATGTACAATATGTAGTATTTACCTGTTGTTACCATCAAACCGTCATCAAAGATATATAAAATATTGTAATTGTAACATATCGAGCTTCGTATCACTAAGCCCTCTCCTCAAAAAAATATTTGCCGTATATATATAGAGCATATTTTCTCGTTTGTGTCTCGGTTAAAGGAATTAACGTTTAGTGTCGGCGATTTACCGTTCGAGCATCTCGAGATTTTCCACCGTTCGCAATATATTTTAAGCAATTGTTTCCTCTCTTTCCGTGCTAGAATTTATAAATCGAAGAAATGGAAGAAAACGATATTCGACGTGAACTGACGTATAAAAAGACCCGCGAGATAAATCTAAAATATGTAGTTACATCTACACACAGCATAAAAATAGGACTTTGGTTTAACTTGTGTAATTAATTTTTTTGTAATTCCGATGAAATGCGATATAGTATATATATATAAAAAAATAAATTATCACTCGATGTGTATGTTACATTGTACGTTTAGTTCGGAGGAAATACGCCGCATGGCTTCTGACACATCCTGTGCACGTTGTTATTCACGAGTGTTTGTTCTCTTATATCCTTATCCGACATTAACTTTGTATTTTTCAAATTTGTTCATGGAAAAACTACGTGTTGATTTTGAATGATAAAGAATTCTATATTTTCTCCTCTTATTGGTGAAGAAAAAATCGAAATATCGCGCGAGAATACTCTGTCGGTGATATTAAATAACTTTAGAAGCTTGTAAAAATGCATTATTTCCTGATTTAATTATATTTACGCGAGATTTAGTTCGATTGAGTGAAGAGTAGTTAACAATTAACGAATATTCCGAGCAATTAAATTTAAATTCGAAATTGCTTGATATTCTGCACGATGCGCCGTTAGATGGATCCACCGTTCCGAATTCTTTTGGTCTGATTACAATGACCCACATTGACGACGAAATTTCAACTAACCTAAGTTTAACATAACATAACCTATTGGACAAAATTGTCATAACGGAGACATCTTGAATTACTTTTGCTTTTTCATCTCCGAATAATTAAAATAATTGAGATACGCTGTTTGTTTCTTTCTTTCTTAGATTTACTCAACTGTTACATCACATAATCGACGCTCGACAACTCTGTCTTTTGAACCTAAAAATGTTACAAGCATGCAGAAACGCGGGGCGGATGTTGCTTTCAAGTAAGTTTCCGAAAATTATATGTTATAAATGAAATTGTATTGAGACCATGATCTCTAATTCGGCCTCAATTGTCATGTATCGTGCAAATTAAGTTTTCGCACCACAATTTTCACAGCATTGAAATCCACATCAGTTACACAAACAGCCGGGTTAAAAACCTTTCCTCCTCCGATAAAACTTGGTGGTATGTTCATTTTCTGATGTGTTATGTGTACTTGAATACAGGAATTTTTCTTTTCTTATATATGAAATTTCTGTTTCCAGAGATTGAATATCCTGAGCGATATAAGTTGAAAGTAATGGAGAAAGTTCCGCAATTTCCACCGGGAATGCGTGCCCCTAAGATGCAGAAACGCTTGAGATACATGCGAGGACCTGAGAATTTGCATAATTTTCTTATGTATAAGCAGTTCGGTATTATAGTAAGTCAGTCTTAAACACTATGTTTAATAACAAAATAGCTGTTATTATAGATTATACAGACATTATAAATATATAGCATATCTCAGTATAAGGAGAACATCTGAATATCTCCTTTGTTTCTACGATATGGGAAACATTTAGAACACAATTTGAATAGTTTCGAAGGAGGAATACCATGGAAGGAAACATTTTTACGGTCATTTTCTCGATTTTTAACATTTTCCATATCATTAAAAACAAAGAAGATATCTAGGTGTTCTCCTTATGTTGGAACAACCCCCTTTATATACTTTTTTTTTTCTGTACCAAAGGCTACTGGAGGAGGCAGATTGAAACATAGTCATTTTGAGATGATACGTATGAAGCTGCTTAGAAACCTCGATTTTAATAAGATATTTGCAATTTGGCGGGTGGACGCACCATGGCAGCCGGTTACAAAGAAGGTGTGATAAATATTTTAAGTGTTACGATATCAAGCATGAAACTAAGTGAAACATAATTTTTTACATAATGCTTTAACACACAGGGACTAGGACATCGTATGGGCGCTGGTAAAGGTTCTATTGATCATTATGTCACTCCAATTAAAGCAGGTCGTGTTATTATAGAAATCGGTGGCAATTGCGAATATTTCGAGGTACGCTAATAACTATGTCTTACTATGTTTTCTACTATGTTATACTATATTTTCTCATTATTTTCAAAGTATCTTGCTTTTTATAATAATTCTTTACGATCCTCAACGACGCTTATGAAAGAAAAAAGGTGACTTTGTAACGCACATTGTCTTCTTGACCAGAAAAATATGAAGAAACGCGAATATGTTATTGCACAAGATTCATATCTTCTTTAGGTAAAGAGAGTATTAGAACGAATAGCGTTTATACTCCCATTCAAAGCTATGGCCGTCAGTCAGGAAATATTGGATGAGGAGAAGGCCAAAAACCAGTGGTTAGAGGAGAACAACAAACATCTTTGGACTTGGAAATATATGGTGCAAAATAATATGATCGGTTGTCATAATTGGATATCGCCATTTGATAAGAAATGGTTTAACAGGTATTTGTAAATAAACGCCATTTGATAAGAAATGGTTTAACAAGTATTTGTAAATAAACAATTGTAACATTCTTTCGTGTGTTTTTATGATTTCAATGATTGAAGCGATAGTTTGAAACGTAACCAAGGCTGCGTTCAAAAACATCATACTGAAAATAAAGTGGAATTTAATTGATCAATCAGGGTAAAAAGAACTAAGATTTCTTAATCATAATTGGTCAATTAAATTCCATTCTACCTTTAGTCCCGGTCTACAATCGGTGTTTTAAACTTTAAGTCTTAAGAAATTGACGAATCGCAGTCGAATGTGAAGAGAATAATCAACTGTGATTGGTCAATTTCATAGGCCAGTATTCATAATCGGATCTTATATTTAAGACCGTCTCAAGTTCATCTTGAGATGTTTCGTAGCCAATGAAATGTGCGACGCAGCATCTGAAGATGAACTTGAGACAATCTTAAATATATGACCCGACTATGAATACAGGCCTTAAGATTTAAATCACCTATTGTAGACCGGGACTTAGTGTATATTCCCTACACTTATTTCGATTTGTTTCTTGCTGGAAAATAATCCAAGGTAATCCAAAGCCCCGTCTACATAAAGATCATTCTAATTAATTGCAAGTAGGCGCAACGTTTGTTGCGACAGCCAATCAGAAGCGTCAACAGTACCATCAACGCTTCTGTGTCGCAACAAGCGTTGCGTGTGTTTGCAATTAATGTAGACCAACCTTAAGATGCAAATATTCATCGTATGCGACGCGTGATGTCCAATGAGCGTACAGCTTTATTAGGATAGCTGCGTGCTCATTGGATATCACGCGTCTACGTCTGCGTCCTATGTAGATGGGGCTTGATAAAAAGTTAATATGCGTATCGAGTGACCGGTGTAAACTAGACTATATATCAAAGGAAGGAAGGAAGGATGGTTCCAGCTGTGACTGTGCCCGCAATTTGTAATTCGGTTATGTGTATATCTCGTGTGACATGAGAGTTTGTAAATAATCTACGGTCTTGAGAGCGTACTTGCTTCACTTCTTCCGTCAAACAAAATTACACGTGAAACATGTCGCGGCATCGGGACGTCCGTTGTATGAACTATTCCGACGGTAAGTCGCGAGACCGCAGCTGATACGTAATATGTAAATCCTTATTAATCCAATTATTAAAATCGTGAAATCCGGAGGTCGTTGCAACATTATCTCTCTACCTTCTCTACGTGATTAGTTAGCTTATTATTGCAAACTTACGATTGATAGTGCTTGCGAATGTTATGTCCTTTGAGCTCTTCGTCACGGCAACTTTTGAATTTTCGCTAAATCATGAAATCATACTTTGCGCAGAGTACGATGGCTATGACGACGTTTACGGGCATTCAGTGGAAGATGATTACTGCGTGTCGCCTAGCGGTAAGTTCTTGGAAATTGCCTTACAGACCTCTTAATCACATCCATAATAAGATACGACACTGTGTTAATTGCAACTTCGACGTATAGCACAACAGTTCCTGTTTGACCGAAGCAAGCAACAAAATATAGCTTCATTCATCACAGAGCCAGATATAGTCGAAGACAACGAGGATATTGAGGTTTCAGCGTCTTCCGACGAAGAGAAATGCAGCCTTTCTGAGTTGGAGAAGGTAAAGTTGATGTCTTGTATGGAGTCCATCAGGAATGTCATAGGTGATTCTGTGACTGAATCCAAACTGCGGGAGCACATCATCGCATCAGGCTACAACGCAGAAGTAGCGCTCAATACTATCTTGCATGAGTCTTCACCAAAAAATATCGGTACGCTTATTATATTCTTTCTCGGTGAGTCTGTGGTTATAATTATTCGACATGGATTTTGCGACTGGATGGATGGACTAATGGGAGAAAATATATTTACAGATTCGGCAGTGAACAAGGAACGATCGGGACCCCATGCAGGTATATGTTGCATAAGATTGCATTTCTTCCGCTTTAAGATATTCTAATTGCACGTAATATTTTTTTCGCGCTGCAACTTTTATCATTTTAATCCGTTAGCTGGAACAATTTAATGACCTCATGTGTTTGTTCTTTTCTTCTCATGTTTCATGTGCTGTACTGGACTTCATCGGTAAGGTAAGGTGTTTCAGTTGATAAGCTTAACACGTTTACGTTCACGATACCGAAACTTTCGTTGAAGAAAGAACACGATTCGCCCGAACAATACTCGACTTCCACCGCGTCCCGTTCGAACAGCACAGACGATCCGAAAAATTGCAAACGCGCTCCCACGACTTTCTCGTCATTAGCCGGACTAACTTTCAACAGTCACGCGCAATCCGTAAATTTCAACGCGACGAAGGTGCCTTCGCGGCACAACGCGGACTCGCAGTCCTTCAGTTCTTTAGCCGCCTTGACCGCGCATCACTTGCAAAAATCCAATCCACTTAATGACAAGCAACTTCGCGAGAGGCAGCGGTCGCCGAGTTTGCAATTTGTTATCCCGAAGTTGTCACTCAGGGATAACGGCGAGGCGACGGAGAGTAAATCGCCGTCGAGGGCCACCGGCGATAGGAGCAGCGAGAGACAGTTGATATCTAACAGTAGTTCGAACAGATACCCGATGGATTTGCTGCAGAAAGATTTCTCGAGCATGAGCATTCTGTCGAGGAACAACATCGTGATGGACGTGAAATTGCAGGAGGACCAATCGCAGGGTCCGATGGCGGTTATAAACGACATACGCAGCCCGTCGCCGGACGGCTGCGTCATCGACCTGACTATGGCTCTGAAGGAGGCGAAACTCCTCGCCGACGGCACTTTTAGCAACTCGATCGCGTCGGGAAGGTTTTATCGCGACTCGCCTAACTTGGAGATATACGTGAGGAGTGCGACCGACGTAATGCCGAACATGCTGCCGGTCACTTTAAACTTGTGCGCTCTGAGGCGCGTCAGACTACGCTACACGAAGACTCAGGTCTCCGTGTTCGGGAGAACCCTGTGCCGGAAGTGGAAGACGAGAAGGCCGATTCTCAAAGTCCTCGTGAAACACCGCGGCGCAGTCAAGCCGTTTGACTTCTCTGTCCCGTATCGAAACGCAAGCCGGTCTCAATAATCAACGATTAACGAAGCACGGACATTGTGTGTGTGTATGCGCGTATGGGGCTCACTACCGTGAATATTGATATAACGATTCTATCATTTTAGAGCGATTTAATATCGGAATGTTTTATCGGGAATCGTGTACTTTTATGTTTCTAACCGGTTATACACGTAGGTCTTTTTATCTCGTCCCTGTGCTTCGAATCTGTTCGAAGAATCGTTGTACTGTGTGCAACGATTATATGCTATCCTTCTTGCATAACGCCTTGAGCTTCGAGGAAATACCCAGAGTATTATACAAAACCGAACTAGTGGTACTTATCAACTGTATCGATCTTAATTTTAAGCTGTTTCGAACGTAAATTTACAAAAGAGGGAGATATTTACAGAGGAAGATTATATATATATATATATATATA